GAGATACTGGGCATGGATCTACGAGATGATGCAAGAGATATTGAGATCTAAAATAAAAGATGATAGATATTTGATATTACATTTATCTACAGCAGCAAAAATATTATATGCAAAATATTGGAAACAAATGGAAGCACCAAAGAAGCAAGAATATGTGCATAAACTGTTGGAGACGGCTGAAAATTACAAACTGTCATCATTGATGAGAGGGGCAACAGACCCAACATTTCAAAAGACGTGGAAAAAACTGTATGACTGGTATATTATAAATGCATAGTTTAAAGTAATGAAATGTTTGGTATTATTAATCTCTTGTAGTTAAATAGAAACCATGGTAAAAAGATAAGAGTATACAGAAACTTAAGCAAACCTATAGAAAGTGATTTAAGCTTGGGGGGGGGGGGGTTCACTGCCTCAACCAAATGCCCAGTGGAAGAGCTCCGTCTTGCATGCCCTGCAAAACTGCAGTAAGTCCCACAGGGCCCTGATCTCGTAGGGGAGCTCATTTCACCAAGTAGCTTAATGCTCCAAACCCAGACAGTGTGGTTTAGCAAAAGACTGTAGCCCTGTTCACAAATTACAGTGAATGCACACACAATCCATGTACAGTGTACACTTGATTTTTCTTTATACATGCACTGAATAATTCTGTCATGTTCAGTGCATGTACAGTTCATGTGTGAGTGAAACCCCAGTTATCCAGGTTCTAGACTAATTTCATTTGTAAAATGGATGCATGTTGGATTGTTCCTTTAAACAGATGCATGTGCATTTACTTCTGAAATTGAAAGAAAGAATGTCCAGATCAGGGATAAGACAAGGAGAGGAACAGGTAAGGAAAGCTAAGAGTCCCAGAGAGACAGAGCAACAATAGCTCAAAAGGAACACACCTTGAAAAATCCCTGTGTCTGAATGGGGGAATCCATCATTTGCATGATTTTCTTATATGTTCATCTTCACTGTGGATTTATCAACAGTTCAGCTGACAATTGGATGGGGCTTTTTCTTCTGGGTTGAAGCATTGTATTTATTTAATTTATTCATTTTATGAAATTTATACCCCGCCTTTCTGTCCTCATCAGGGCCACCAAGGCAGCTAGCGGATTAAAAAAACATACATAATAAAATATGTCTTAAAACCAATTAAAACCAAACATAAATGCATCATTAGAACAACTAAAATCAAACTAAAAACCAAACATCAAAAACATAAAATTAAAACTTATATAGTTAGTTTATTAAAAATAAATTAAGATGTTAGTCTATCTGTAGTGGAAGAAAATGCAAGAGTCCAGTAGCACCTTTAAGATTAACACAATTTGAGACACACTATGAGCTTTCATGAGTCACTGCTCTCATCTTCAGAAAGCTCGTACTCTGCCACAAATTTTCTTAGTCTTTAAGGTGCTACTGGACTCTTGCTCTTTTCTATTATTAAAAGTAAGTTTGTTACAGTAGCTAACTAAATCTTTCAGAGACTTTCCAATACAGACTCTAGAAAACACTAACGTTGGCCTGTTTTTATATGTATTAAAGGAAGGACAGTTATGACACACCCTTGCAGATTTGCAGTCAACTTGTCAACACCTAGCCAGAAAAAGCAGCATTTTGACACTTGGTCAAATATAGTCAAATATACCTGTGTTCCATGACTGTCATATAATATGACATTCTGATTCAACTACAGATTACAGTCTCTTAGTTTGTAACACACACATGCCTCTCCACTAACAAACAAGGCACATTTTACCTGGGATTTTTGAAAAATGGTAATCAACCACTGTATGGCAGAGCCTGCCTGTCTGTAAGTAGAGTCTAGATACAAAGTAGAAATAGTCTAGAGGAAATGCTCCATGGTAAAGCACAACAAGCCCAGGTCCTTTTGGCACTTTATCCATTCCACACACTTCGTAACCTGTTCAAAATGCAAGAGCATTAGCATTATTTTTTGTCAGAAACAAAATTTTAGTGTATTAGTAGGCAATAACAAAAGAAATGATATCAAATTGGGCTATTAGTCTAGCCAATGATCCCCAGCATGGCACCCATGGGTGCCATGGCTTCCACCAATATGTTTCCTGGTGCCTATTTGTGTCTCTTCCATAAAGCTGTAGCTTTGCTCTACTTTACTGGAGCACAAGGTGCCTCAAAGGCACCCAGGAGTCACCATTTTTGTGTTTGTAGAGAGCATCCATTTGGAAACAGGTCCCTCCATCAAAGAAGGACGTTTGGTTTTGAATCTCCGAACATTTTGTAGAAACTCTCAACGTTTTGTTATTGGTACCACCACTCCCCATGGAAGTCATTTTATTATGGTGCCCATTACATATTTTCAGAATTCAAAAAATGCCCATAGGCTCAACAAGACTGGGGAGCCCCAGCCTTTGGGATCCAGGAATTTACCCTCTCCCCAATTCTATACTCTAGATATCTTGAATTTCCTGTAGCCAGATTAAACCTAGTACTTGCAGCACAGGCTTTCACCTTTTATTATTGTGAGGAGAATGGGGACCTAAATTTACTTAATACAGTAGGCTGTGGGGCTCGTAAAAATTATGAATCTGATTTGCACTTACTGGATGCTACAGGAATCTAGAACCATTTCTAAACGCCTGTATCACCACAGGACCACCTGGACCCAGTCATATCTTGGATTGCCAACTTCTAAACTGATCCCTCTAGCTGTCCCTTTAATATCAGCTTGATCTGCAATCATAAGGTGATGTTGCTTAATTTCACGCCATGATAAGCTTCAGCTATCCATCTCCACTCATTAAACTTCTAGTAAGAGGACGGGACATTTTATTTGTATCTTTGTAGTTAGGTAGCACTATCCTCATCCTGTTATAGTTTAAAATAATGAGTCCTTCCACTTCCATGAATGCCAGAACATTCCTCAAATAAATCTTTGTCCTACAACTGCAGGAGGAGGAGGAAGAGGATTTATACCCCACCCTTCACTCAGAGTCTCAGAGCGGCTTACAATCCCCTTCCCTTCCTCTCCCCACAACAGTCACCTTGTGAGGTAGGTGGAGCGGAGAGAGTTCTGAGAGACGTGTGACTGACCCAAGGTCACCCAGCTGACTGCATGTGGAAGAATGGGGAATCAAAACCGGTCCTCCAGATTACAGTCCGCTGCTCTTAATCACTACACCACAGCTGGCTCACAGATTACCATTGAGGGGGGGATTATGACCTTAGTTCACACAGACAAATCAAGAAATCAGAAAGATGATAATAAGCTCTCTAAATAACATTAGTTACTACATAATTAACTAGTATTAATGCAAAATCCATAGAGCATTCTTTAGTACAATGCATACTGCTTCTGTTAAAAGCATGAATGACAAAAAGTATTCATAGTCAAAATGAATTTGAATTGCTAAGAATTTATATTCAAGATGCTGTTTCTTCAGGTTTTTGCCTACTGTACTGTATTGCATTTGAACAGTTCCTTCAATAAATAAAACAGAGTTAAAAAAAGAATTTATATTCAAAACTATTGTGAACTGGGCAACAGTTCAACATCTCAATTTGTATAATAAAGTATGATAGTACAACGAATAACAAAGCAATTCATCTTCAGAGATCCTGTTTCAGGTGTCCCTGCTATCTGAGGCTAGACAGGTGCCAGCCCAAGAAAAGTCCTTCTTAATTTTGGTGTCATAAGTTTGGAACACCATCCTCAGGGACATTCATCTGTCTCCCTCTATTATGGTCTTCTACCAGTGGGTGAAGATTTTTTTGGTTTGTTTGGCCTTCACCCACTATTATTGGCCCTACCCCCTGGTTGTGTTGCTACATGTGTTTATATGTTTTATTGAACTGTTTAAATATTTTATATACACTTTGATGCTTGCCACCTTGGTGACCATGCTTGGATGGAAAGGTGGCATAGATTTTTTTTAAAATAAAATAATAAATGAATTGACTACATTGTGTAATAGTGACATAAAACACATGACTTATAAAAACCGAGGTCACCTAACATTATTTGCTGGAATTGTGTGTTGGCTAAGAGCCAGGAAATCTCCAGTTCAAATCACAACATCCACAAACCTACTTGGCTGTTTCAGGAAGGCTGCTGTCTTACAGCTTTAATTTCCTCTACCCTGAGACTGCAATACAGAAATAGAACTGGCTTCCCTTACAGAGTTAAGGATTCCTGACACAATGAAGGGGAACCACTGTGAATACCTGAAATCAAATATTCTTTCTAAGCTCTATCAGTGTCCACCAATACAATACTGCTGTCCATGTGCTGTAACAATTCTTACCATGCCATACAATGCCATACATGTCCCAAAGATAAGTCACTGCCCTCCTTCCGTTGTCCCATGATTTACTGAGAAAATCTCCCTTTAAATTATTCTTTCTCTTGTAAATATGAAGGATGAGAATAGAAAGATAAATAAAGCCAAGCACAATTAAATTCGGTGAAAACAGGATTATGAACGGTGCCAGCACCCACAAGTGAGATACTGTACAGTCTCCGAAATCCCCGAGGTAATGATTTGGATAAATCCATCCTTTCAATAAGCTTGTCAGTCCAGTCACATCTTCCTGCTCCGAAGAGGAAGATTCACTTCTGCTGGTCATCTTCTGTGTAAAAGGTAATCAACCAGGTCTATGGAGAAAGCAGTTTCTTAATACCGACCCTAGATATAAAAAGGACACTTACTGCCTTATATTATATTACAGTACAATCAGAACATTTGGGCAACAATTTGGGTTTCATTCCAAAAGTGGCCTTACTAAACTGAAATTATTAGAGGGACTTGAATGTTGCAAGATCCAAAGCCAACACTTGGAAACAGTGGCTTAAGTGATGGAATGCTCTATTTATACCATACACTGTACAAGATGTCATGTGTCCCTTCCACATATACCTGTCCAAAGAGAAGGCACTGAACTGGATCTTTTACAAAAGAAAGGCTAGTAAGTGAGTAAGAGAAGGTGAGTGAGAGAAGGTCAAATCTTGTAGCTGAAGCGGCAGCTTTGAATTTTTTAAGGAGACAACCACTTTACAGCTGGGTGACCTAGGTGATAGTTGATATCGAATCAGCCTCTAGAGGGAGCAAAACACATGCAGAACAGAAACAAAAGGATGCAGAAAAGCCCAATATTGGTTACCACTTCACATTTTGTTGGATTACCTCAGGATCTGTTTTTGGATTAAACTCTTTAGATTTCTTGAATGTTATTTCTGTCTTTTATAAATTAACTTAGTGGCAATGTTTTTTACAACCAATGGGATGTATGAATCATTGTACAGGTTTTCGAATACTTGTTCTGAATGTTTTAATAATTTTAATTAAACTAAAACAAGTTTCAGTTTCTTAATTTTTTTAAAAAACTATTCCTTTGTAGATTTCTGCCTAAATAGGCTAGATATATTAACACAATTTACACTGGGGCTCAACACCACAAGAACAATTCCTGTCTCATATATTAATCTGGCATAGGTTGAAGACCTTCAGATGGTACTAGGTTTATAACAGAAATGGGAAGGGATCCACTTTTAACAATAAAAGACTGATAGTTAACATTCCAGATTATAGCATCTGCTTCTGCATTACTAAATCGTTACCAGGTCCCTCCTGGTCACCAACGGGGGATAGGGGGGTAGGGCTGCCAAATCCAGGTTGGGATACTCCTGGAGATTTGGGGGTAGAGCCTGGGGAAGACAGGGATCTCAATGGGGTACAGTGCCACAGAGTCCACCCTCCAGAGCATCCATTCTCCCCAGGGGAATGACTCTCTGTAGTCTGGAAATGAGCTGTAATTCCAGGGGCTCCCCTGGCTGGCATCCCTAATTACAAATGTAGACACATAATTTGCATTTGCATTAATATGCTCAACAGAAAACAAATGTGCTACATTCAACTTCTCTTTTTCCATACATGAGGTTTAATCCACAAAAGTTTTGTGTTTTTCTGCTTCTAGTTTTTCAAAGGGAAGGAGAAAGACTAATTTGAATAACTTCTTCTCCCCACTTGTCAGCGGTGCAGATTAGGAGAGTGGGAGAAGTCGTATCTGCTGTTATTTAGCCCAGAAATGCTGCATTTTGATTCTTATACAGTGGGGTGGTCCCCTGGGGTACAGCAGCACTGGAAGGGAGAGATTAAGATCGTGGAACAGAAAAAGCCAGAGATACCTTTATTCCAAAAGTGGAAGTCTATCACTGCAGCCATCCAAGATGATGTGCGAATTAAAGAAGCTGTAGAGACTTAGTAACCAAATGGGAGCTTCTGGATCCAACAGCTTCTCTTCTCTCGTTCCCCAACTGGCTGTTTTTAGAAAAAACAGTACAATACTAAACAGACTTACACCCTTCTGAACGCACTGACTTCAACAGATTTAGAAGATGTAACGTTGCTTAGGATGGCACTGGAAGCCTGATAGGCCATTTCCATACAGGTTATTCGCCCTGGGTTCAATGCTGTTAGAAAGTGTTGGGGTCTTTTGCTTCTCCACAGAATCCTGATGCATTTGTGCACCTTCTGTGTTTCCCTAGTTTTTCTGCAGTTTTGCTCCAAAGTCTTGGGAAAGATTGCAACAAAGCCTGGATGGACTGGATTTTCCCTATCCCACCAACACAGCAACCATTCCCCTGACAGCCATCATTTCCCCACCGGGGTGTTAATCAGCAACTGAATATTATATTAATATAACACTATAACAATATATAACAGGATCTCTGAATTCCAAGCTTTCATTTTTAAAAAGAGTTAAATCTCTAGCGCCTTTCCTTATGAAGATGTAAACGGAAAGACATATTTCTGCAACAAAAAGGGCTAGAGACTTTCCTTTTTAAATGAAAGCTGGGAATTCAGAGACCATCCTACACATTATTATAATGTTAAATCAATATGATATGCAATTACCAAAGTCCTGGTTCGGGGGGGGGGGGTGTGGCCACCACCAGTGGACAAGGGCAGGGAAACTATGGGGACACCTACTATATGGAAATCCTTCTGCCACTGTGCTGTACTGAAGCACAGCAGCAACAGGAAAAGCACACATGTTGACATATGTGGAAAGCACCATCTCTCGGGGATAAGTGCATCAATTCATGAAGATTTATGCACACAGAATTATATGCAGTGGTGCATGATTGTGAAGTGAAGCCTTCAAGTGGGCTGAAGGGCTCTAGAAATGAACTGAACAAGTTTTAGAAGGGGGTGCAAATCCAAAAGGGTATGATAAATGCTGCTTCAAAAGAAATGGCCCTACCTGTGGGCTCTTCCGCATTCTCATTTTCATTGCTTGTAAGTACCTGTTTCTTGGGGGGGGGGATTCTGTTCTATATGTGTTTTGCTCCCTCTAGTGGTTAATTCAATATTACCCTGGAGATTTAAACTGGAACCTTGTGGCACTGGACATAAACTGGTGTAATATAGCAAATTGACCACTAGATGGAGCAAACCCTCCTGAAGAAACGGGAAGTTACAAGCAAGGAAAATGAGAATGTGGAAAAGTCCTGTGTTCCACCTCCCTGAAACAAGGATTTATCATGTATTAAACACTTTTAGCACTGGGAGATTGATCTTTCAGTACCTCCTATTCTGCAGATGAGGGACTGATGATGAAGCGCTGCACCTCAACTAGGCTGAACCACCTGCCTTGGTTTGCTGCCCAGGTGAGCAAGGTGGTTGATTGGGTGCCACAGTTTGAGAAGAGCAGTGGCACAGAGAGAGGCCACTGCCGTCAGCTGGCTACAGTGCATGTGCAAAGGTAATTCTGACAGCACCAGCAGGGATAGTCTTCTCCCAGCCAGCAGTAGGGAGGAGCAGGAGCTGCTGGTGGTCACCTCCCAGACCCAGCGTTCTGCTGTCTGCTGTGTAAAATACTTTGAGCAGGCTCTGCCTGCCACAATAATTTGCTAATTTTTAAATGTTAAAAATACAAGACAGTCCAAACTTTTGCCAAGCTTGCCCAAGACCACCCAGCAAATTCATAGCTCAAATAGGAACTCTCCAGCATAGCCAGTTGGTTATCTGCCGGGGCCCAAAGACTTCCCAAGGGCCCACTCACAGAAGCTGAGGAGAGCAGAAGGAAGAGCTCCACCTCTTTCCTCCCTAGCAGTCCAGTGCAGGTGATGCAGGGGCAGCCAGCAACTCTTCTCTCTAGGATGAGGCCGGCTGCAGCTGCTCCTGTGCTTCAGGGCTAAACGTTTTCTTGGTGGGAGTCACTTCTGAGACTCCAAACCTGATGGAAAACTCATGGCTACCATGAATTTGCCCTGGTCATTTTACAGAAATTTTAAATGCCAGGAGATTTAAATGCCAACATTGGCTCATGGCATGGAGCTCATTCCCCCCCCCCATGCCTTTTCAAGTACAAAAACAGCCTCAGGGACATGTGCTGCTCCTCAGCAGCTGTTTTGGCACTTGAAAAGGAGATATGTGGTGGGAAGATCTCTGCACCACTGGATTGGGGCCACATAGTGTTTTAAAATCTCTGTAATATGGCCAGCATGGGGGCCATGAGTTTGCCATCAGGTTTAGTTGGGCTCTGGAGAGGTAGTCTGGGCAATTAGCTGACTGAAGGGTGGAGGACAATTGCAGCTGGAAAAGATGTGTGTATGTCTCCTACACCTGCCCAGCTCCCTCTGTTGTGTCCTCCTTTGTTAAGTAGCAGTGAAGCTTCAGGCAGGGCTAAAATATTTCTTGGGGGGGGGCAGGAAAGCTGGGGGGGGCAATCAGCAGTCTATAGGGCAGGGGGAGGTTGCAGAGACGAAAGATGTGTGTGTGTTGCTCTTCCTTGGCTTCAAGTTTTTTCAGCTGCCCAGCCCCATCCATCCTCCTCCAGCAAGTTAATTTAATGTATTTACTTTATTTATACCCCACCTTTCTTCCCAGTGGGTACCCAACATGCCTTACATTGTTCTTCTCTCCTCAGAACAACCCGGTGAGGCAGATGAGGCTGGGAGCGTGTGACTAGCCCAAGGTTCCCCAGCAAGACTCCACAGCAGAGGGCTGGTGTGGTGGAGTGGTTAGAGCACTGGCCTGGGACAACTGGGTCCAATTCCCTCACTCAGCCATGGAAGCCTGCCAGGTAACCTTGGGCCTGTCACAATCTTTCAGCCTAACTCACCCTCATGATGTCTTGTTGTGAGGATTAAGTGTGTGGGTGGGGAGGATGTGAAAAGCTGCTCTGAGTCCTGATCAAGGGGAAAAAGCAGACTATAAATTTAAAAATAAGCAAATAAATAAGCAGGGGGACACACACTCAATCGTGGGTCTCCCAGATCTTGGCCCAACACCCTAACTATGACATCACACTGACACACCAGCTAATTAAGGAGGAGTCAAACCTCTGGGCTGTCAGGGCCGAGGAGGCTGAAGAGTTGCTTTAAAGGGAGAGAGACTAGGGGATGAGGCTCAGCTGTCTGTAGAGGGGGGAGAGTTTGCAACTGGGAACAAAGCACCTATGTGCATATGCAGTGCTCCTTGTCTGCCCCTCACCCAGAGCAAACAATTTGCATGGTTTCCCTTTACTACTGTGAGTAAATCGAAATGGAAAAGTGTACAGATAGGGTTGCCAACCTCTTGTTGGTGGTTGGACAGAGATTAGTTAGCAGGAAGGAAATGGCAGTTTTGGAAGGCTGACTCTATGGCATTATACCCTGCTAACGACCCCCCCCCTCCACCCCCAAAGTCTCAGGTATTTCCCAACCCAAAGCTGGCAACCTAGGCATGGGTAAGGAAGAGTCAGAGGGGAATGGCCAAATAGAAGGGGTGTGTGGGTAGGGTTACAGGGGGTGAATCAAAAGGGGAAGGGGGCTCAGCTATACCCGTTACCCAGACTCCACGCAACCCTGGAACCAGTCCTGTTCTCCAATCGACGCTGAGCCGCCTTGAACCGCCCCCATTATACCGCATCGTTCCCTTTCCCCACTTCCTTCTTGCTTCCGCCCGCCCTCTTCCTCCCTCCGCCTCTCCCGCAGGGCGCTCTGCTCCATCCACCCCCGCCTCCCTGGGAGAAGAAGATGCCGCCGCCCCGCCACCCTGCCTGCCTGACGACTCGCGCGGCTTTCCTACCAGGCCAGTTCGTCGTCATCACCTCGCTGCGACTTTGAAGCTGAGGCCCGTCTCAGGCGTCAAAGGACTCTCCCCCCCCCCCAAGCGTTATTTTGGCGCCAGCCGGTCCATGGAAGACCCCGGTGGCTCGGACCAGGTCAGGCAGCTGGAGAGTCCAGGGTCCTCCCCCAATCTGTTACTGCTGCTTTAGAAGAAGCGCCTGAGCCCGCCCAGATCTCAACGGCGGATTCATTTGAGTACCAGGCTAGGAGGGGCGGAGAACTGCACGCGAGCCGCAATGCAGTTGAGACGTTCCGCGTCCCCGGGTTGCAAAAGTGGGAGGAAACGGTTTCGCTTGTCTCCCGCCCCCCCCGCCCACTCGCGTTTTTGCAACCATCTGTAGGTTTCCAGCCCAATCCTTTACAAATGTTCTCCTGAAAACAGTGATGTTGCAAAGGAAGCCTTTGTTTAAAAGAGATTGAAACGCTGTCTTGTAAAACCCTGTGATGGAGTAAATTCCTTTGCCCTGGTAGCCTAAAAACACCTCCCATTCTGCACTTAGCATTTGCTCTGTTGTTTTACCAAACCCACAGGGAACAGAAAAAGATGTGGCTCAAAACCACATTCAAATACCTGGGGCCAACACTGTACTAACCGCAGAATCACCTCTGAACGGCCATAAAATCTCCATAAATCTATGCAGATAGTTCTATAAAGCCAAGAGATCAAAGGAAGTGAAAGCGGCATGCAGTCTGGACACTGCCATAAAATCCCACAATTAAAGTGAAAGTGGCATGCAAAGCAGAAGGGAATTTCTGTTCTGAGGTGGGTTTGGTAAAACAGCGGAGCAAATGCTAGATGCAGAATGGGTTTTCCTTGAGCGGAAGTGTCCTTGAATAAAATAAGACTTGTTTCTGAGTAGATTTGCCTGGGGTTGTTCTTTTAACTTGTGAAGTGCCACTGGAGTTTGTTTGTTTGCCCTCTCATCTAGATTGGAAAATGCCTGGAGATTTGGTGGAAAATACCTGGAGATTTGGGGGTGGAGCCTGGAGAGGGCAAGGTTTGGAGAGGGGAGGGACCTCACTCAGCAGGTTATATTTACATAGAAGCCACCCTCCAAAGCAGCTGTTTTCTTTAAGGGAACTGATCTCTTTAGTCTGGAGATCTTCTGTAATTCCAGGAGATCTCTAAGTCCCACCTGGAGGCTGGCAACCCTAGCTCCCATTGATTTTTATGTACAGCTGTGGTATTGTAGAGTATGACTGGGTTCAAATGTTTCTTTATTGATTATTGCTGTCTTATACCTTTGGGAATTCTTTGGGATTCTCCTGGAAAGTTAACATCATGTTTTAGAACACTAGACAGTGTTGTATAACACCAAATGATTTCAATCATTTTTAATTGACATGTTTTTAGCTCTTGTTTTAATGGAAGAAAAGGAGTGTTTGTGATGTAACCTTTTGATGGGAATTAATGCAAGTGTTTTTGCCCATTAATTTAGCCAACTTCGAAGACCTGTCCAGAGTCCTAGATTTATAGTTATAAAAAGTTTAGAACTTCAAAAGGAATAAGGAGGTGTGATCCTCCCTTGTTGAAGTCTCTGCCAATTTTGGTCAAATTGACCAAGTAGCAGTTTTTGCACTCTCAATGAGAGCTTATGGTTAAATGAGAGACACAGAACATATTCAATGTATTAGATGCTTGGATTGAATATCTATATATATGTATTGTATTATTTTAAAGAAGGAAAAGACTTTACATTTTGAACAGTTATTATGTATTGTAACAGAGAGAAATCCTTTCTCTTAATATAATTGTTTGGTTTTTAAGACTTCATGTTATGTTTAAGACAAGTTATTGTATAAGATGTTTGTAAAAAGCTTCAACAATTCTAAGTTCTGTTAGTTTACAACAAAGAGGGATGCTTGCCTGAAGAGAAATGTTTTAAGAATTGTGCTTAAGGACAAAGTTAAAGAGCTAACGAAAAAGAGTTGGAAAATGGTCAAGAGCTGTGCCCGGTGTGTGTGGACATAAA